AGATAACAAACACAGCCACATAAAAACCTTTCAGGGTTTACATAGAAAGTGGTCATCTGAAGTAACGAGACGACAGTCAGTGTTTTTGCCCAACAATGCTTAATAATACCACTCGGATTCAATTTCATTGTACACGTACTGATCGATGTGAGTGTAGTTAGCTGACTTCAACCCTCTGTGGATTGGTTTATTGACCTGTTACCATGAAGAGATCTGATTAATCTAGAGTAAGCAGATGATTTAGTTCATTTAGGAAAAGTGACTGAAGCATTCAGCATCCTTTGAAAAACTTCAACAATCATTTAGGTATCTTTGTTATTTTGATATTCGATGGTCGGAGGCAATTGACAGGAAGTCCCACCTGATCTATGTTTCGTGCTTGTTGGCACTTACCAGTCAGCAAAAGCGTATCTGAAACCTTGAAGGGACTCATGTCGCTTCTGAGATTCAAACCTGCATCGTCCAGTGCTGCAGTTACAGACGTTACCTCTGAACTATTCGGACTAGCGACTGACTTTCTGTGGGACTCTATTGAATACTTTGATTGGCCAGTGATTCACTGGTGTCATGTGTCTAATCCTTTGTTCAGTGCAGCACGAAACGTAGGTCAAGCAAGGCTTCCTGCGGTCGATTGCTTCCAACCATCGAATAACAACGATTAGTAGTGCATCGTGATGGCTAGCCACCTAGAATGCTGGACACATTGCAAACTCGACTGACAGAATTCAGTCTACACCAAACAAGAGAATAGAGGCACGACACCAGTTACTTATTTCATACATTTATTCCCCTTAATGAATTTGAACAAAGCAAGAACTACAGTTTTAGCAGAATAATGTGGTACCATCATTTATTTCGTTGGCTTCTCATCAGCTGCTTACAGCCTAAATAAATTATGAGGTTTAAGTACGGAAACGTTTTACATGTTGTCAGTTGACAGAAAATTCCACAATTTGTAAACAGTGCTCAGAAGATTGCGCTTATATAGTTTTCACACAGGCAGTTCAAGTTAAAACAAATTAAATGTATGCAGAAAATGGTAAAAGAGTTACGTAATAAAGATGAGATGTGCGTTAGATGCATAGTGACTAGTAAGTTAGTTAACAATGTACTGAGTTGAGCTCAAATCATAGAAACAAGAGACAAGCGAAATTAAGGATTTTAAAAAGGGAGGGTGAGGTTAAAGACAAAGATTACGTAATCAGATGAGAGAAAAAAAAGCATCCAGTTACCAAGGCAAGGAAAGACTAATAACTGCTTCTTTCTGAACACATAGATCTGGTTTCAAGCGCTTGATAGAAATCGCTTCAGCAAACTTAAGGAGAATTGAGCTCTTTTGCCTATTGATAATTTTGAACGACTTTTCGACGTCCACCTCATGACCCGTGTCGAGGAGATGCCTGGCGATGGCACTGTTTAAAGCACTTGTTCCCTTTAGACGTAAGCTTTTTGGTACGTGTTCAGAAAATCGTAGATTTGCCCTTCTTTCTGTTCTTCCAATGTAACTGCTCCCGCAGATACACGTAAATTTGTATATACAGTTGGAGGTAACATGAGAAGGATATCTATCGATTTTTGATTGCACCAAAGAGCAAGTTGTTCGATAGACGGGAACGAGCTTGGCTGCAGGATAGGCTATGGCTAGTGATGTACTCAGCCTTCTGTTGATCATCGCTGCAATGTTTTCACCTTTATAGTCAAGCTGAACGTAGACTGGCTTTTTACCCACTGTGATTTGTTTTACATTTGTGACTTCAGATCTTCCATACTTGTTGATGAACTTTTGAGGATACCCATTTCTCTTCAATATCTTTTCAAGGAACTCAAACTCCTCCTCTAATTTCTCTACAGAGCATATTCTCCTCGCTCTATAGTACAGAGTCTTGACTAGACCCCGTTTAAAGCTATTTGGACAAAAGCTATTAAAATGCAAATATTGTCCTTTCCATGTGGGCTTTCGATAAATTGACTTTTGAAGACCACCGTCTTCTAGGCGTTCCATGGCGATGTCGTGTAGTCATAATGTCCTTCCTCTACTCGTCAAGTAACATGTGTTCTATCAATCTCTTTGATTGCTCTTATTTAAAGCCTAAGAGAAAATGCCACTGAAAGTGGATGGGAGATAATTACCAGTTTTCAATACACATGGCCATCCATTGGTTCAGGTGGCAAATGCTTCTCGTCTATTCTACTACTCATCTTAGGTGGATTAATATTAGATTGGGAAGGTGTTTAGCTTCTTGTCGGGTTATAAAATTTCTAAGGTTTTATTATATCGAGAATTAAGTAGTTTCTAAGCATTGTTTATAAGTGTTAGGAATCTGAACAAGGTGAGTAATATTTACGTTGGGCGTCGAGTGGTAGGTAGGTAAGGGGGATAAATCAGACTGCAAGGTTGTGAAGTTACGTCGATTGAGATCGTCAGGACATGTGTTATGCATACCTAGCCATCCCCTTCATCTACGGGCAATCTAAACTGACCGAGGATGAGGTTGGAAAGGAACTAGTGTCTCTCAAATCAAACCACGGCTTCATCAGTCAATCAAATCCATAACAGTTAGTTTAAGTCACGAAGGGAGGTGTAGACTGCCTTCCTGGATGGCTGAGGTTGTCGGCATAGTAGCAACCAGTTCTCAATGATAGCTGGCGAAGATGCATTCACTCTTTGTCACTTGTCGTATCGAATAAAACTGTGTTGTCCTTTCATATTACTACTGTTCTTTTTCCCTCACTGAAACTTGCGTTTATTATATCTCTCTCTTGAATGTCTCTTTAATCTGTTCTCTTGCTTTGTGTGGTACATTGTAGGGAGAGTGGCAAGTTGAAGTGTTGGACATCTGTGCAAAGTTCTATGTTGAAACCAGTCAGTTAGTCATTTGGTTGGGAATCTGTGTGACAGAATGGAATGCAAATGGACTCCGCTAATTGTTAAATGACGAGTCAGTCATCTACTGCGATTACTCAGGCGACAGTGATTGTGTCTCTTTCACAATTTCACCAACAACTCGGAAAACAATGATGACTGACTACATGGGAACCAACCTCCTTCAGAATTGGACATCCGCTAAAGAAATCTTTAAATGACATCACATCATCTAGTGTAACCTATATGTAAAGCGATAAGTTGAGCGTGGTTGTGAGGTGGCAGGCATATCACGGATAATATGAAGATGTTGAAATAAAAACTTGTGACTTAGCAATTCTTGAAGTCAGGGAATGGCGTACAGTAGTTCCGTGCTTCTCAAACTCTAGGTCCCTGTCGGAATGCATAATTAAGTAGAGTGAACTGTTACACGTTTCATCATGCGTAGACACACGATAGAGAATCACTGGAAAACTAGGGAGTATTTGGTAGCTGTTTCGTCCTAGTTTGGGATTCTTCAGCAGCACGTATTAGCCGAAAGGCGAACCTAGGAATCTCTGGTTACGAGGAGAGATCGTAGACCATTCAGGTACTGGGAAAGAGCTCAGATGCCCATGAATTCCAACAGTGATAAGGCACTGAGTGAAAACTCCAGTAGGTGCGTACCACTAAGGAGTCACATACAGGGGCGATTCTCTAACTGGTGTTAGCTGGCGATTAAACTTGTAATTAGTCAAATCGCTGTCAACCAGCACTTAGTAATATTATTTATTATTATTATTATTATCGTTCCTTGGGTTCCTAGTGGAACATAGGCCTTCAACTGCACGTCTCCACTTGCCACTTCTGTCTTCCTTCTGCTGTCTTCTACTTTTCACCTGCATCCATGTTAGTTAGTCCATACTGCTTCAACTCCCCTCTCTTCGCACGATCTCCTCCATGTCACCCTTGCACTGACGTCCCACTCCCCGCCGCTTCCCTTTCAGCCTGGTTCCACTCGAGCGATGACCTGACGCGCACGCGATGTCACCCAGTGGTGGCCTCCTCAGCGAGCGAGTATCCAATCCATCTCCACTTTCTCCTGCATATTTGTTGGTTGGTGATTGGTTCTTGTTTTGTTTGTTCCCAGTCAGAGTTTCTTGTTGGTGATTGTTTCCGATCCGGCCATCTGGTCTTCAGTATAGAGCCAGGGAAGACAGTTGTTTGATAAAGGTCTGCAACAGGTTGTTGGAAATATTCTTTGTGACCCGCCCGCCAAGTTTTTGATTCATATAGAAGAACTAACTGACTTGACGTGTTTGTAGTGAAAATCCGACTGAATTTTTTTGTTGATGCTGACTGAGTGACGAAGATTTCCAGATTGGTTTGTTTCAGGTTGATGAATGTGTTTCTCGCCATCTCAAATATCGATTTGACATCCTCGTCCGTTCCGACTGCGTGTGGTCGAGCCAATGCTCCCTAGATAAGCGGATGAATGAAGTAACCTCTTTCAAATCCCCTCGTTGATGGTGATTGGCGCTGGATTTTCCTGTTGTTGTCGGTTGGTTGGTTGGTTATTTTCATAACCTCTGTCTTGTCTATGTTCATCAACTGGAGTCCTGTCTTCACTATCTGCTTCTTCGACCAGTTTGTCGGTCGGTTTTCGCTTGTAAGTCTTCGATTTTGTGACAGTGACATCAAACATAAATCATCCACGCGCGAAATCCAGGTCTTCTAGGTTCTTCACGTTGGTACAGACAGGATATCCCTGTCTTCTCGTTTCCCACTCACTATCTGACGCATAATCCAGTCCATCACAATTAGGAACATCATGGTGATAATAAGCACCCATGTCTGACTCCTGTGTTTACTCCGAAAGCCTCGCTGAGTGGGTTTTCCGTTGTGGATCACTTGACATGTTCCGTTGTCGTACAGCTGTTGAATAAGGTTGATGAATATTTGGGGTATGCCGTAGTACTCGAGTAGTTTCCAAATTACTTCGCGGTCTACGCTGTCTGTCGAAGGCATTCACAAAGTCTAATATATAGTTTTATTTAAAAATTCTAAAAAAGATGATACGTGAAAAAATCCGAAAAGGAAACGAATAGGCAAGAGAAGAAACGAACGTGTAAAATACCAACAGTAATCTGTAACTTACATGATTAAAGAATACACCGTCATATTGTCCTGATAGTGAGTATAATTCACGTTTTGTCATTTTTGCGGATTCCTTCACCTTTTTAATATATCCTTTGTCATGAACAAGTGCTAAATCATTATCACTGCTTGAATGCGCCTATAATTGTTATTAATTAATTAATTAAAAATAAAAGATTAAATAAAATAATTAATAAATAGACAGGATTTAATCATGAGCTGACATTAGTTAGAGAACCATTGGAAAACCTGTAGGGAGTACCGGACAGCTGTTTCGTCACCTAGTTTGGGACTCTTCATCAGTACGCACCCGCCGGGATTCGAACCCAGAACCTTTTGGTTACGAGGCGGGCTCGTATACCATTAAGCCACTGGGACCCAATTCAATGGCCAGCCCATGAATTCTAACTTCTGCCAATTCACGACATAGCTTAATGGTATACGAGCTCGCCTCGTAACCAGAGGGTCCTGGGTTTGAATCCCGGCGGGTGCGTACTGCTGAAGAGTCCCAAACTAGGACGAAACAGCTGTCCAGTACTCCCTACAGGTTTTCCAATGGTTCTATAACTAATGACAGCTCATGATGAAATCCTGTAAACCAATCAAATCCCTACAAACCAAAACTTGAATAAACAGACAAACAAATATATACTCACACACACACACACTGAATACTCCTAACCTTACTGATGTTATAACGTGACAATACCAAGAAAAGTATTGACAAAAAATCGACACAGCACGACAGAATATTTATAAATGTAAACATAGAACTTGGGCACTTTGATAAAGTATGTCTCCATTGTGGATAAGATTTTATTTTGATAAACTGTTACACAGTGGTGTTACACAGTAATATTAACTGATGACCACGTTTTGAGCACAAACTATTGCCAATCATAATCATATCAAGTCATTACTCACACAACTTGTTTCCCTTCATTTATATACATGTGTGGAATCGATTAGATATTGTATTAAAAATCACTATGAGATAATGTATATTCAGGAATAATAATAATAATACGAGTGTTATTGATCAATAAGACGAGTGTTTTAATAGTCGTAATAAGTTATTTGTTAGAATTTTGTAATGTGTCTGAATTGAAATAGAATTTTAAGATTATTTATTGTCTTCCTATAATTTGACTGGTGGTAATAATATCTTCCATATTTCTGGTATTTGCATTGAGTCATTTCGGTTGCATGTGTTGAGTGTAGACTCAATGAACAAGGATTCCGTAATCAATCTCTCTCTCCACCTATTTAGATTACTTTTTAGAATTTTAACCCTCTCCCACCCTATTGTGTGGTTGTGTGTTAATGCATGCATTGCAATTGCTGAGCTTTTGTCTAAATTACTTATCTTCTGTGGGTCAGCCATTCTTACCTTAGCTAAGTTCTTATGTTCTGACAATCTGACTACCCCTGACCTACTAGTTTTACCTATGCAGTTGACTTAACTCACAGTCATTGCAGGGTATTTTGTAAATTATATTATTTTGTTTAATTGGGTCAACTGGGTCCTTTAACCTACAGAGCTTGTGTTACCTGAGTGAGTTTGTAGGTTTGAATGCCACCACTCGAATTCCTGCTTTATTTAGAATCATACTACGTAGGGTCTCAGATGTCCCCTCCTTATATGCTATAACAGTAGGTGACTTATATTCTCTCTTATTTATGTTACCATTACTAGTTTCACAATTATTTTTATTTTGCTTTTGGCCTTTAATGATCTTCCTAATGAATTTTATAGGATAGTTAGTTATTTGATACCAACGCTTATTCTATCTGTTTTGTTTCATCATTTAGGTCTTTTCTTGTGCTACTTAGCGCTACTGCTCGGTTTGTTAGACATTTCACTGAGCCTGCCTTAACAGATAACGACGGATGAGACGAATTGAAGTCTAAATATCCAATATTAGAATGCGTCGGTTTTTTATTAACACTAGTATGTAGTTTACCTTCTTCTATTCGTTTTATCTTACAATCTAAGATCATAGCTAATTCTCCTCGTTCATTTTCTGATTCAAATGTGAATTTTATTCCCTCTACTTGTGAGTTTATATTTGTCAAGAAGCTAGAGAGAGATATGTTCTGTTTCTAACAAGTAGCTTATTATGACTGTAAAAACACTAGTCTTATTGATCAATAACACTCGTATTATTATTATTATTCCTGAATATACATTATCTCATAGTGATTTTTAATACAATATCTAATCGATTCCACACATGTATATAAATGAAGGGAGAAAAGTTGTGTGGGTAATGACTTGATATGATCATGAGTGGCGATAGTTTGTGCTCGAAACGTGGTCATCAGTAAGTATTACTGTGTTTATAGAAATAAAATCTTATCCATAATGGAGAATATTTATAAAGTCGTATTTTGAAGGATCGTTAGAGTCGGTGGTTCAGAGATGCAGCATACTCACCAACTACGCTTCACATAGTCCGAGGTATGATCCCCAGCCGGCGCACTTTCGAATCTCACTTAGCCCGTACTAAGCCTGGTCTAAGAGGAGAAGGGATTAGGCGTGAGACTAGCAACTCTGCTCTGTAAAACATCACTACTACTAAAATTCCAATGCTCAAACTTGAAGTTCTATGTTCCACTTAAAACCCAAAGTGACGAGTAGTGGTTAGCAGTAAAATGCAAAACTCTCGTTTTCTTCATACATTAGGTTCCCTTGATAAATTTCGATAAAGAAAGGAAGACGAAATTTGCAGTATAAAATGATATCGTCATTCTATTTCACAGGTTCTCATCAGCTGCACACCGCTACCTGAAATTACAATTGGTTATGTAGATTATTATTTTTTATTTTTATTTTGATTACAGCTTGATTCCACACTGTATTTTTAGTACAAGTATGGAATTTTCAGCATGGATATCGGTAGCCCAAATTTCGCAGGCCGACCATAGATATCAGGTGTGCGTCGGCAGGGGATGATAATAGCATACTTTAATGTTTGAGTGGTAGTAGAGAAGAAATACTACAAAACTGATGCATCCAAAATGAAAGCAGCATTACAATTTTTAGTTTAAGTTTTCATCATCAATTTATACACTTTTAAAGTTGAAAAGAGGGTGGAGGGGTAAGACAGAAAACAGAAAAAATTAATTCACAGAACACTGTTAGCTTGTAGGTTCACATAGCAACTCAAAAAATAAGCGGTTACAGATTATGAGATTAAGATTTGTTCAGTGAGTTAAGATCACTGAATTAGATGACTAATTATTAATGTAATCAAAATCGAAATCCAGTTACCAAGGGAGTGAGAGGTTAATCACACTCTCCCTCGTTCTGTATGCATAAGTCTGTTTCGTTTAAATCGTTTGATTGCGATAGCTTCGGGAAATCGAAGTAAATTTGCTGTCCCTTGTCTATTTAATATTTTGAAGGACTTAAAAATCTCTACAAGATGTCCGGTATCAACAATATATGTCTGGTAATTACACTCTGAGAGTATTTGCTTCCTTTCAGGCACAGGTTTTTTGGAATATGTTCAAAAAACCGAATAGAAGCCATTCTTTCCGTCCTTCCAATGTATTTGCTCCCAAAACTGCACATAAATTCATAAACTCAGTTGGAGGTGACATCAGCAGGGTATTTATCCAGTTTTGAGTAGCTTATAGAAGGAGTGGTGCTGTATACTGTTATGAGTTTAGCTGCAGGTGGGAAGCTTCTATTTGTTACACCTTTCAATCTTTTGTCAATCTTTTGTGACACTGCATCTCCTTTGAATGGGGAGACAAATAAACACTTTCTTCTTTTCTACAGTTGGATGTTTTTCTTTCTCATCTTTTTCTCTGCTATACTTCTGTATAAATCCCTTAGGATATCCATTTTCTCTTAGGCATTTCTCGACGAAATCTAATTCTCTCGTTTTCCCCTCTTCCAAACTTCTTAGCTAGAGATATCTCTATTCCCAGTGAGTGATGTTGTTCCTGCTGAGGTTTTGGAATGATGGGCGTTAGATTCAATTCTCATTATGAACACTAGTATTCACTAGGGATACAGCTACGTCCAGTTGACGAGTTCTAAACAGGCGTATCCCAGTAATTATTCAGTGTTAGCCTATATCAGCTAAATAACACGATAGTCAACAGTTTATCTGTGCGTAGGTGGTGGCACAGCGGTTAGGACTCTCACTGACCATGTATATGTTCCGGGGTTCAATCCCCTGTCGATGCACACCTGATATCAATGGTCAGCCTACAAAATTTCGGCTACCAGTATCACATGCTGAAAATTCCATACATGTACCAAAAATACGGTATAGAATCAAGCTACAATCAAAAAATAAATCTACATAATATTCGTTTATTTTAACTTTAAACGCAATATTTTAAAGCAGTTAGCATATTTCACACAGTTGGTTTGTTTTTTTGTTTAGCAATAGAACGTGTCAATTAGGCATTAGTCATTTTGTTGAAATGGAATGGATTTTCGCACACGCAGACACACACACACACGCAGCCAGTGGTACAAAGACGGAACGCTTTTAGGTTTCAGCTGACTTGGTTTGTTTTTCTGAATCAAAGTTTTTTCTAACACAACACACAACACACATGATCTGACCCAACAATTATTATTATCGTTATGATTTACATAATTTCCAATATATGACATTATATTTTTCAAAAAATCTGTTTTTTTCGAGGTTAACAATATTGTTATTTACAAAATGTGAATGTATCAACTAATCGATTAAATTGTATAACAAGCCAGCCTGATTAAAATCTGGGCTAACGAGAAAAACCTCTACCTATACATGGTTCAATTTGTTTAAATCTAATAAAAACATGACCTTGAATGGTGTTGTTTAGATCTGCATGGAGGATTTCATCATGAGCTGACATCAATTAGAGAACTATTGGAAAATCAGATGGGAGTACTAGACAAGTGTTTCGACCTAGCAGTTTAGGACTCTTCATTAGTATGCACTCGCCAACAGGGTTCAAACCCAGGACCTACTGGTTACAAGGTGACCGAGTTCGTAGACCATTAAGCCACTGGGACCCGATTCAGTGGTCAGTCCATGAATTCCAACTTCTGCCAATTGACAACATAGCTCAGCCATTTAGCAATGTCTTCTTCGATGAGTCACTGCCTCACCTTCAACCTGCTGT